CGGACGGATAACAAGCAACAACAAAACACAGTTAGACGGGGTTATTTCAAAACGCACGCGGTAAATACAAACAAGCGACAAAACAGCGAAAGAGAAAAATGCAAGCAAGAAAGAGCGAGTGGTCTGGCGCGCGCCTTTAAGACGGGTGGTCTTTGCTCATTGGATGTGACGTAACCGGGGAGGAATGACTGACAGCTGAATGGACCAATGAACAGAACCTGAGAATACATGAGAGCAGATACGGGAGAACAGAGTGAGAGAGAGAGAGAAAAAACACAGAGAAAACAGAGCACAAAAAACACAAATACATAACAAGCTTATAAAGACTTTAGAAACAGACGTTTTCTGTTAGCCTTATAGTTTGATGTTGTTGCCATGTTGCCTTATTTTCGCTGTACTGGTTGTTACCAGGTTACGGGAAAAAAAATTACGTGCTCATCGTTACTGGCCGACAGGGGCCAGTAACAATCCTGTCTACTGTCCCGAGCGTCTTTCACGCTGGCCCCGGGCCATTGTTGAGCCCTGATACCCTTTTTTCAGATTTATTATGAATCATTTTTATCTGCAGAATGTGTCTGTAAAGCTTTAGCTCAAAACACCCATCAGATTTTTTATTATACCTTTGATAAGATTCTGTTTTATACATTTTTGCACTGGGTGGCGGTTTTGCTGTTCTGCGCCTTTAAGGCTAGTCCTCCCCGCCCACCGTTTCTGTGTGCCTTAATCTCCTCAATCAGCTGCGTCAGACAACAAACAGACATAAAGGAAGCAGATCTCACGTAGCGTTTGTGAGAAATACTACAGTAAGAACTTTACCCATGATTATTTGATGCATTTGCTGTGTTAAGTTACAACGTCAATGTCGTTACAGACTTCAAGCACTCACACACACAGACACACATACCCAGCACGGACAAGATACGCACATACATACAGACAGTGCGTTTACCTTTGCACTCTTTTTGCATGCATATGTGACAGGATACAGGCTAATCTCCACTGCTGTATGGGTATCTGTCATGTTAATGTACAAAAAAACCTGATTTAACGTCCACAAAGCGGGATTGAAGCGTCTTCTTTCATAACTGTTCTGACACGCGGCTGTGCTGATGAAGTAATTCTGAAGTAAATCGCTGTAATTCATTACACACGTGCTCTGTTTTAAAACACTTTAAACTTGTGAAACTCACTCTTGATCAAATTGGATGACGATTGTTGATAACTGAACAGAGCTTTTATTCCCGGTTGCATTGCACTCACCTTCTCTTGTTGATCTGATTATACAAGTGACTACCAGGACATGTTACGCCACTGTCAATCAAGATTGGTGGGTGGGGGGACCGCACTCCTATGTCAAGTTGCGGTCAGTCTAAAAACAACTGGTCCACCGTTTTTATGTTGTTAAATTGAAAAAAAAAGGACTGGGTGTGTTTATATCACCCCAATATGACCACCGCTTGAAACAGCTTGAAAAGTAGATTTTTCACCATAGGTGTTCTTTAAATATTTTCCAAATAATGTTTAGCAGAGCAAGGAAATTTTCACAGTATGTCTAATAATATTTTTTCTTCTGGAGAAAGTCTTATTAAGAATAAATGTGCTGTTTATTTCTTTTTTAAAGAAACATTTTAAGGTCAAAGTTATTGGCTCCTTTAAGCTATATATTTTTTTATATATAATATATATTTAGTTTGCTTTGGCTGCAAAGTTTGATTTGATTGCAAAATGAAGAAAAAATGCAAAACTACAGAAAAGTAAGAAAAATTTGGAGAAATGCATAAATTCAATACAACAATTGTATTGAATATGAAAATCAGAATGATTAGTTTTTCAAAATACATGTACTATATGCTGTCAACATATAATGTTGCAGGGGCGGACTGGGACTAAAAATCAGCCCTGGCACTGTAGCCACATCAGCCCACATTATCACACCGACACAGCCCCACCCTCGGACATGCACATTCACTACTTTTATTGGTGTACAGATGGTAAAATAATATAAGCAGTACCAGCTGCATCACTGTGTGGTTTGGAACCTGCAATGCATCCTGCAGGAAAACACTTCAACGCATAGTGAGAACAGCTGAGAAGATCATTGGTGTCTCTCTCCCCTCCCTTCAGGACATTTACAGCACACGTCTTACCCGTAAAGCCCTCTGCATAACAGCAGATGCCACCCACCCAATGCACAGCTTCTTCAGTCTGCTGCCATCAGGGAGGAGACTGCGCAGTCTCCAGGCCAGGACCAACAGACTGAAAGACAGCTTCATCCATCAGGCTGTCAGGAAGCTGAACTCTCTCCCAGCTCTGCTCCCCGCTCCCTCCCCACGCACCTCCTCCCCTCGCACCTCTGGACTCTGACACACACACACACACACACACACACACACACACACACACACACACACACACACACACACACACACACACACACACTCATCTGCACTGGTCACTTTATGCAGACACATATACTACCTCCCAATATGTCACTGTCACTTTATCACAATTATCATGTTTACAAGTTCTTTTTGCACTATACTGTTTTTTATCTGCACAACTCTGGTTTACTTTGCACTCATTGCTATATGCCCTTAATGTCACTGTATTGTTTACAATTTTTTTTATTACATATGTATATTTCTTAGACCACATTTATGTGCAATGTATATACTGTAAATTTTCTAAATTTTCTTTTTTTCTTAAACCCTACTATTTTTTATATATATATTCTATATTAATGTTAAGCACCTTGGGTCTGAGAGTAACGCAATTTCGATTCTCTGTATGTCTTGTACATGTGGCTGAATTGACAATAAAGCTGACTTTGACTTTGACTTTGACTTTGATATGTAATAGATATTTAACAGATATTTATTTTGTGTTTGGACTTGTGAGGGAAACCGGGAGGAAACCCACACGAACATGCAAACTCCACACAGAAACACCAAATGACCCAGCCGAGGCTCGAACTATTGACCTTTTTGCTGTGAGGCGGCAGCGCTACCCATTGTGCTGCCCCCTTGTGAGACTATTTCAGTTAATTTTATGCATTTAACGGCGTCTGATTTTAGAGCAATTTTTAAGTTTCCTCTGAGCTTTTTGGCACCGCCTTTCCTTTTTTTATGGTCCATCTCTGACAATTAGCTTGTGTTGCACCTAATGTATGTTTGCCAGATTATTATTATGTCCGTGTAACCTCTGATTGGGTCGGCCCATCTCGAAACCAGCTGGCCATTACAGATTGGGCCAATGCTCAACATTTATTATTATTATTACTATTATCATCATCATTATCATCATAATCATCATAATATTCACCTCTTGCAAGAAACAAAAACTCACTCTTGATCAAATTGGATGACGATTGTTGATAACTGAACAGAGCTTTTATTCCCGGTTGCATTGCACTCACCTTCTCTTGTTGATCTGATTATACACGTGACTACCAGGACATGTTACGCCACTGTCAATCAAGATTGGTGGGCGGGGGGACCGCACTCCTACGTCAAGTTGTGGTCAGTCTAAAAACAATTGGTCCACCGTTTTTATGTTGTTAAATTGAAAAAAAAAGGACTGGGTGTGTTTATATCACCCCAATATGACCACCTATACACTATACCTACACATATTTTGGTCCAAACAGCTTGAAAAGTAGATTTTTCACCATAGGTGCCCTTTAAATATTTTCCAAATAATGTTTAGCAGAGCAAGGAAATTTTCACAGTATGTCTAATAATATTTTTTCTTCTGGAGAAAGTCTTATTTGATTTATTTCGGCCAGAATAAATGCGCTATTTTTTTTATTTTTTAAAGAAACATTTTAAGGTCAAAGTTATTGGCTCCTTTAAGCTATATATTTTTTTATATATAATATATATTTAGTTTGCTTTGGCTGCAAAGTTTGATTTGATTGCAAAATGAAGAAAAAATGCAAAACTACAGAAAAGTAAGAAAAATTTGGAGAAATGCATAAATTCAATACAACAATTGTATTGAATATGAAAATCTGAATTATTAATTTTTCAAAATACATGTACTATATGCTGTCAACATATAATGTTGCAGGGGCGGACTGGGACTAAAAATCAGCCCTGGCACTGTAGCCACATCAGCCCACATTATCACACCGACACAGCCCCACCCTCAGACATGCACATTCACTACTTTTCTTGGTGTACAGATGGTAAAATAATATAAGCAGTACCATATGTAATAGATATTTAACAGATATTTATTTTGTGTTTGGACTTGTGAGGGAAACCAGGAGGAAACCCACACGAACATGCAAACTCCACACAGAAACACCAAATGACCCAGCCGAGGCTCGAACCATTGACCTTTTTGCTGTGAGGCGGCAGCGCTACCCATTGTGCTGCCCCCTTTTGAGACTATTTCAGTTAATTTTATGTATTTAACAGCGTCTGATTTTAGAGCAATTTTTAAGTTTCTCTGAGCTTTTTGGCACCGCCTTTCCTTTTTTTATGGTCCATCTCTGACAGTTAGCTTGTGTTGCACCTAATGTATGTTTGACATTCTTGCCAGATTATTATTATGTCCGCGTAACCTCTGATTGGGTCGGCCCATCTCGAAACCAGCTGGCCATTACAGATTGGGCCAATGCTTAACATTTATTATTATTATTACTATTATCATCATCATTATCATCATAATCATCATAATATTCACCTCTTGCAAGAAACAAAAACTGCCTGTATGTAAAAGCAATACTTTAATAAAAAAATAGCATACCGGCCCACATTTTAAAAAAATGGTCCATCCCTTCTGGCATTTGCCAGAATTGGCAGATGGCCAGTCCGCCCCTGCTCTGTTGTAACTTGTTGGTCAGCATAGGCATTTAGTAGTTTGCTATTTGTGCTTCAATGTCTAAACCAAGAACAACAGGTAGTTTTTGGAGAGCTAAGAGTTAATTCAGTTTGGCACAGATGGCCACGCAGTCTAATCCTCTTTCATAGAGTCCCACTCCTCCTCCTCCTCCTCCTCTCGGGATGAAGGTCTGCCTGTGATAATTAGCCTAATGGAATGAATGACTGTGGATTGACAATATGCAGCTGTGTGCATGTCTGCGCGTAGGTGGAAAGTGACAATCCTCAAGAGAAACGCTTTCAAACGTTGTTTCATCCTCACACGAGCTGCAGAACGGAGCGCTCGGATATTCAGCAAAACCTGTTGAATTCTCAGACTGGATTACTTCACATGTATATGACAAAGTTTGGAGGATTTGGCATCCGAGGAGAATGAATCGGTGCTTACGAGGTAGGACAACGTGGGGAATTAGGACAGAGAGTCAAGATGGCTCTGTCTGTTAAAGGGACAGTGCATCCAAATATTAATATTCGGTCATCATTTCACTTGTTTTGGGTTTCTTTCTTCTGTTTACCACAAAGGAAGATATGCTGGGGGAAGAAGCAGCTATTGATTTGTATTGATCTTATAGAAACTTAATAAAATGTCACGTGATCGCTTGCTCTTTTTAATTAACACCCAGGACACAGTATGTTTCTTTTAGTTTTGCATAGATATATACGTTAGATACATGTATAGATACTTTATTACTTTTATTTACTTTTATACTAGTTATTTGTTATATTTAAGCAGACATTTCACTCATGTTTATATAAAATGACTCTTATTTTATTTCATTTGATGCAGAAACCAAAATGGGACGTCTCGTTTCTGATCCACATCTGTTTTAGGATCAATTGAAAATACAAATGTAAATAGCAAAGGCTTCAAATGGTTAACGCTTCTGAGAGGCCTTTAATATCCTAGCTCATTACTGGTTACTTAATGCACTTAACAGCACATTAACTTTTCAACATAAAAACTCTAAGGCATTGAAATTGTTTAGTCAATTTTTCAGGTGAAGCATGAAATGAGTTTATGAAAATGTCTACTTAATAAAAAATTAATTACAATGACCGATAACATTGTAGACCAAATGATTAGCACTCCGATGATATGTTAATTCTTTTTCAAATATTTCCTATAAGAGCAAGGGTGTTTTCAATGTGAAATCATTTTCCAGCAAACTGAATGGACCAGATCTAAGAAGGGAAAGGATAGTGTTTATGTAAATGCCTTTATAGCCCTGATAATAATCATACAGGTTTTCTGTATTCCTATACTGTTAAAAAAATATTGGTTGCCTTAAATTTTTAAGCTGAATCAAATTAACCCATACCTTCCAACACAACAGAAATTTAAATACAGCCATTCAGAAGCACAGAATAGTGCACGTACTCACGAAATAGTAAGGTTTATAGTTTAATTATTACATATTAAACCTATTTAACACTATTTTTAACATCTAAATGTTGATCCTGAATCACTGATATGTGTTGGTTTTGAGTCACAGTTCTAAAGTTCAATTTTAAACGGTTTATTTTATTTTCCACTGTCAAAGGGTACCTAAAAGCGAACGGTACCATACCACTTTTTCGGCACCCTTTGCAAAGGGTACCAAAAGGCAGAGCTAGACATGCAGCTGAACGTATTGGTTTACAGAGATACGTCATTCGCTCACGCAATAAGTCAGAATGAAAACAAAGGAACAGCCATGTTTTGAATACACAGCCGAGACATTACACCGTAATAATATATACATATAATAACGAGCCATGGTCGACCCGAGCTCAAACAAACCTTGTCGTCTTTATGAACAGCCACAGAGCCAAGTACCCGATTATCTTTTACCCTGTGCCCCGTAGTTTTTTTACGAACCAGTCTAAAGCGTGAGTGTTTTTGCTTTCTTGCTTGCCCTCGCCGTGCGTCTATATTTGAAATAGCAAAGCTATTTCGCACTGTCATTGATCTGCAGTTATAATCAAATCATGTTCATAGAAAAGTTAGTTAATAAACATTTATACACAAGTATTTATGTGTATAAAGCATCTGTTTTGTGTGAAGTGCTTCTCATATGATATGTAAACGACCTGTACAGCTTTACTTTTAGACATTTTCTCGAGCGAAAATGACATTGACTGAAACTTTCTGTTGCACACCACACCCACCAAAACCATTGGTACCCTTTTAGCAGTGGAAACGCAAGCCTGATAAAGGTGACCCGTACTGTACTGTACTGTATGTACAACTCAGTGGAAACGGGCCATATCTGCTGCTGCTTTCTGTAGTATGGCAATTAATGCCATGTGAAATGGCATTCAAACTCACATCATTAGCATTTAACACTGAATAAAGCACATGAGGTGTACCTGAAGTGATCATTGTCAGTTTTCTGTTGTTCAGCTTTGACAAATAGAAGATGTTTCTAAAATATCAATTTGAGGTGTTGGTTAAAACAAAAACTACTTTTAATATGAAAAATATTCCTTGTGTTGCGTGCCATTGTTTTTATATAGATTTATATAGAATATATATATATATATATATATATATATATATATATATATATATATATATATATATATATAGTTTTTATATACTGTATGTATATAGAATACGACTTAAATCAGCCTTATTGGTTGTCAGTCTGGCAACCTGTGCTTGCGTTTGTTTTGATTCACGAAAGCAATATCTAGTCCAACCACTGTGTCAAACTTACACACTGCACATTTAAACATCATATGCCATTATTTTGTTTTAAGTCTGTACAAAAGTTATTTTAACTTAAATACACAGTATTTTGGATACCAGAGCCGGGTATTTTACATGGGTTCATTTTCATATTTTTCATACGACACATGTACAAGTTATAGTTCAAATGAAAGCTCTTGCCGGTGCTCATACGGTTCTGGCATTCTTTTTACTGAATTATATTCACATATCAAACAGTTGCCGAATGAATTGCGGTGTTTTCATGGCGCAGAAGAGAAAACAATTCATTTATGATCAATAAGCAGCTCCAGATAGCACAGACAGCTGTCATCTCCTACCTTATGCTGTGCACTTCAGGGCCATTTCTCCTCTGTTTTTGAGGTGATGTGCATAAGTAATTCTTTTATATGTCTGACGTGGTCCAAACAAAGTGAATTATGTTTGATCAAACAAAAGAATAGTGAAATAGGAAAACAATGATCGGTCCCTGTGGCTTGTACAGCACCTCTCATCAGCTGTAATACAATAACTTTTGCATAGATTATGGTAGAGACGTTTTTCTTATTTCCTATGATTACAGACATGTGCAGGAACCACCAAAATTAATTACAGCACGCTAGATCAGAGGACCCCCCGAGGGGTCGCGGGACAATGAAGGGGGGTCGCCTGGTGATTTTCAAAAATCAATAAATTTTTATTAATACTTAAGACTTACTGTATTTTATCAATAACCTACTAAAGAGAAAAAATAGTCATTTATAGTTACTATAAACTATATAGTTACTATAGTAGCTTATAGTTAATAGTTCTATTGGATTGCGACTTCTCGGGTAATTACATTATACTTAAGGCATAGCAATACTTTCAGATGCAGCATATTGATTTTATAACACCAGGTTAAACTTTCTAGCCCATTTACAGCACTGACATACATAAAAAAAAACAAAGAATAGACTTGGGTCTATTGGTGTGTGTGCGTCATTGCATACAAGGTTTCTGTATTCATAACCACTACCTCAGAGAATATTGGGGGTCACGAGTCACTGGCATTGTCAATTTGGGGGTCGCGGCCTGAAAAGTTTGGGAACCCCTGCGCTAGATCACACAGAACCTAAAAGGTACTCTTTCAAATTTAAGTTTATAAAAAAAATACAAAAAGCGCCTCTTTTTTTAGGTGTTTATTAAAACACAGATAACAAATACAGATATTTTAAACGCTTTCAATAGTGTTTTATGAAAATTCAAAGGGTTTTCTTCAAACTGATACCAAATTTTTGCATTTACACCTCTGCATGTGGATTTGGGAAGCTTTTAAATTTGGGTAGGCAACATCCAGGCGGAAATCCCAAAATTACAGCAGAGTTTAACTGGTCAATAAAAATCATAATATCAATGCTTTATAATCATAATTTCAAGTACATTGTTAACGAACCTGTTTACTGAAGGCTTGGAAATTTTAGAAATCATTTAACACTGTTTAATTACTTTTCCAGTGATTTAAATGATCCCGAACAGATGTAGATTTGTGTTGTAGACCTACGTAGTAAATCTGCCTCATGTCTCCTCCCTCATCTCACACATATCCCATGTGTCTTAAACATTCAGTAATCTGACAGCGTTGTATTGCAGGTTTCTCCCAACGGGCTGCCAAGTTCTCGGTTACTAATTGTGCAAATCATGTGTAGCACTTTCAAGCGTTAATTCAACCTTCAGAGAGTTATAATTAGCGTCAAATATATGCACACGTCTCCGAGGGGTTTAGTAATTAATTAGCTCTAATTAAATGGGCTTTGTGCTCGGTGTATCACTGCAAGAATCATTGGAATAAAACAGTAGCGGTGCTGCAATTAAACACAGAACATCTAAACTTCTGGATTATTGTTCGTTCAGGTTGGGGGTAATAGTGGGTCACTTAAGAGTACAGAGGATGTGCTGATGTCTTTTCCTGAGATTACAGTAAGCCTGTGCTTTGGCAGTACTAGCAGTCACTTGTGTCCGGTTACACTACAGTTTCCTTCTTAATGACTTGACTATTTCATATACTTTTGTAAATTTGAAAACCTCCCAGAGCACCATAATAAACACACTTGCAACCACTCAGAAGCCACTAGCAATACTGGAGTGACCACATAGTGTAGAAAACATTTGAATACACCTAAAACTACTAATAAGGGGACCTATTATGGCTCGTTTTACTAGATTTAAAATAAGTATCCGATGTCCCTAGAGTGTGTATGTGTAAGTTTCAGCCCAAAATAAAATGCCCCTTTTACGATTTGATCCTAATTGTGTTGTTTTGGTAACTGTCGCGTTAAATTTAAATGAGATACTATTCATAAACAGTAGACCATCTGGGTAACTGTGGAATACTCATTTGGACATAATATGATTTGGGGCATACTGATTCTATTTATGAATACTAATTAGGATGGGTAATATGCAAATTAGGGTGCAGCATACAAATACTTTCACAACCACCCAGAACACCATAAGATTTACTCAGAGCATCACAGTAATACCCTAGCAACCAACAAGAGCACCTAATGAATAGCTTAGAAACCACCTGAAACACTGTAACAACCCCTCGGAACATCCTAGTAACACACTAGTAACCACATAAAACACACTATGAATGACCTGCAAATCACTTAGACCACCCAATGAATTCCTTAACAACCACCTAGAACACTGCAACAACC